TCCCTGATCTCACCAAGGACAGTTCAAACGCAGCCAAACTTTTTCATCAATGCCCCCCCCCTCCTTCAATCCGGGATATCCGAAGTGGTGCGCAAACTACGACTTTCTCTGAGCGACACGATTCGACTTTGGAGGGGTCAAAGTGGTGAGAACCCGCGGCCGAACAAAGTGCTTCGAAGTGAACATCTTTCGTAGCAACTGCACGGCTTCCACAGCTACCGCTACTTCTGGACATGATTCAACATGGCGTCACGCATCACTTTCGGCCAGTAACGCCGCCCACCAAGGCGACCGCACTTCCAACCATCAGTCCGCTCGGACATGGAGCAATGCACTCAAACGAAGTGTTCGTGAAGGCTTAGTAGTGGACGTCAATGCCGCTGCACCATGGCAAGACGTCCATATTAGCCCATTTGGATTCGTCCCGAAAGCTGATGCAGACTCTAACGTCGAAGCGAGAGTCATTCACGACCTCTCCTACCCGTCTGATAACTCGATCAACAGCTCGTCAGATCCAGAAATTTTACCAGAACTACAGTACGAACACGTAGATTAGCTCGCACGGAGGATCGAAGAGCTAAAGAACCGACGATCTTGCTGTTGAGTAAAACTCAAACGCGGTGACGCCAAATCAGCCTTTCGAAATATGCATGGCACCTCCAAAGTGTGCGGCAGATTTGCAGGTTTCTTTTCTGATGAAAGAGCGGTGGTAAACGACCTGGCACTCCCTTTGGGTTGGATGGGGTCCCCAGCGAACTATGGAGTATTCGGAGATGCAATAACCCACCTCGTTCATCCTTTTGTCATTCGCGTGTTTGCTTCCTTTCCAAAGTACAATATAAAAATGGTCCCCCGTTACTCTTCTGTCGAACTTCGTCACCAAGTTGGAATGGAGAAATTATATACCAATTACTACACGCTACAGATCTGTACACATCGATCTATTGCTGAACGTTTCAGATCATTTCGCGTTGTAGCCCGTTTTAAAGTCTTCAAGTTGACGTCTGAGATCCGGCACGTAATACATCTTAAATGGATGGGTTATCGGAGGAATGGACATTATTCGCTGACTGCCGTGCATACTGGAAGAAACTATTGTCCGTTTGACTCGGAGCAGATAACACTGACTAGGACAAGCAGGATTTTGACTACATGTGTTCTTGCACTGCATTTTTATCGAATTTATTTTAAGTTCAGAATTTTTTTGGAATATCAATAGTAATTTAAATTTGTATTTAGAATCATTTTACACATTTTTAAGAGTATTTTAAAAAGTGAAGGCATTTTTGGAACTGGTTAAAGGCACTGAGCAATTTCGTAGTTAGACGATATCCAACGGTACTAAATGCATAAATTACGGAAATAAATGACCGACAGTCAATTGTAGAAATTTCAAAATTGTATACTCACACCCCACCGTCCCACTTTCTTGAGAAAACCTGTCTTCTGAACTAGCTATACTAACATTTGAACTAAACTAGTGAATATGAACCTTTGAGACACTTAGGGTTAAGAAGTGTCAAGAGTCGTGACAATACCTTACCCTAAGTGAATCACGACAGTACCCCTGACTGGCTGTCAGCCAGTGGCTGTCATTCACAGTTATTCAGAGAGGAAACCAAGACGCTCAGGGCGACCCCAGAGAGACGCCGAGGGAGACGCCCAGCGCAGCGAAGACGCTCATGTCGACGCCCAGCACTGACGAGAAGGCCACCGAGAGGCCCAGCGCGGCCGAGATACCCAGCACAGCCCACACACCTAGGGAGACGCCCAGGGAGACCCCCTGCACAGCAGAGACGCCCACAGAAACGCCTAGCGCTGGTGAGAAGCCGATGGCTGCTCCAGAGGCGCACGTCGCCAATTGACCTGAAGATTTGAGGTACGCATTAAAGTT